TTATGTATGTGTACACTTTGAGAGCAAACAACTAAATTTCATTTTTAATGTGTGCCATTGTGCCCACAGTAAAAAATGACAATAAAGGTTATCTATCTATCCACTGTGATGACATGTATTTGTAATATAGTAGTCTGGTTTCTGAGGTATTTTTGAAGTATGGCAGTGTTAGCCTTGCCAAAGCTTGTGTTGATTGTGCTATATTGGATTGAATGATTAGACATATTTTGATAAAGTTGCCTGGGAGAAGATAGTCTTTCTCTTGTTAATTAGGTTATTACTCAATCATGTTCTATGTCCTCTCTTGCTCATTTTTGGAATTCAGAAGCCCCGCTTACACAATGATTGACGAAAGATCAGCCTTCTTAAATATTTGAGCACTCTATAGGAAAATAAGTACATTGAGAAACCATTACAAATAAGTTGGCTAAAGGACATGACATGAGTGGCGATCAGAGACTAAGTAATACAATTCTTATTATATCAAATAAAAATAACATTCTTACATTTATCAATAATTTTTAGCATATACATATCCTGGTTATTTTAACATTCAGTCTTTATAGACAATCAATGTCCTAATTAGTTTTTCCCAATTTTTAGTTTCCCATTAATATTTAAATTTAACATTTAATATTTATAATTTCCAAGTTTTAAGTAACCAAAGTTCTCTTTATCACAATTCATCACAAAGTCTAATATTCAGGATACAAGTCTTATCTATTTGAATATATTCTATTTCTCACATTATCTAATTAATAATACAGTATAACATTCTTATTTTCTATTAATTTCCAAATGTCTTAAATTTAGTAACCAAAATTTCTCTTGTTTCAACATCAAATATTTCCTATCTTTTTCTCTTAATGTCTACTATTTCATATTTAAGCCAGTATAGTACTTATTATATCAGCTAAGTAAAAACATGTTTATTACATTTATCAATAGATTTTTAACTTATATATATCTTAATTACTTTTACATTCAACCTTTATAAACAAATCAATATTCAAATTTAACTTTTAATATTTATACTTCCAATTTTTAAATGACCAAAGTTTTCTTTATCTCAGTTCATAACAAAACCTAGTATTCAAAATACACATCTTGTCTATTTGAAATATATTCTATTTTAATCCTCACTAATAAGTCAAAACCCCAATTTTCTTCAGCCTTATTCTAGCTTGCTTTCTTTGCCAACTCGCTTTCCATATCCGTGCTTTTAAATCATCAAATAGATCTCCCTCTTTCATTATATATCTTGTTTGAGATAAAAGAGGCCATCCAGTTGCCATTTTTTTGGAAAGGCTAACAAATCGTCTCTATTTTTCCATCTTGACATAATTGTACTGAAATGTTTATCTTCCCTTCAGTCTGTTCTTCTTCTTGATCCTCAGGTTTCTTCTGGTTTATATTTTCCATTTCCAATGTTGTCAGTCCCTTTTCTGGGTTTTCTGTTAACTGTGCTTGTTGATCAGTTGAGTCTTCTATTATAGTATTTGATTGTTCCACTTCTTCTATTATATTCTGTGTAGTTGATTCTTTAGTTGTAATCAAAGTTTGTTTTCATATATCTAGGCTGGCATCTTGTTCTTTTCTGTAGCTTCTTATTTCATCAGTAGCTGTCAGAATAGTTTCATAAATTGCTTTCAACATAAAGAGAATCTGTTCCTGATCTTCATCCATGTTCTCTTAGTGGTGTGTTAAATTAAAAGCTTTACAATCAGAGAATGAAAATAATTTTGTCACTGAGGATAGAATACAGCTGGGCTTCTCACAGCTGATATCTGCCAAGCTTGCAAAAATCTTATCTATAGTCTGGACTTCAAGCCAAGTCTGTTTTAGACAATAACAAGTTGTTATATCAGGTTTAGCCACAAGATGTCACCCATACTGTTTAAGATTTTTTTTAAGTCCAAAATTTTTACAATCCTTTACCCAATTTTACTTCTTTTTTGTAAGTAAAAACCCAAATCTTCAATACGAATAAGAAATCTTTTAGTCCTCAAATTTTAGAAAGATAAAAATCCAGTTAGAATCAGGTTATTCTTTCAGCATTTTAAATTCCCCTGGATAGTCAGTTGCCCCTGTTTTTAGAGGGTGGGATAGAATTTCCCTTCCCTCTCTCCACAGGGGGAAAATACTTTGGGCAGCTTATACAGGTAGAAAAAATAGGATTGAAGAGAGGTTCAGATCTCACCCAGTCTCATCCGTGCTGCTTTATAAGTGCCTGGTAATAAGTTTGACTTCAGTTGTCTGCAGCCTAGTGATGGGCCATATTTCTATGGCCGGTTTTTCATCTGCCAGTTTGAAGGGCTACCACCCGCCCACGATCAAGCGGAGAACCCCTCGCTTGCCCCTAGAGAGCGACTTTTGACCCTTTCCAGGGTCCGCCAGCGGTGCGAAATCAGACGTGGAAGATGAAGCTTGCCTTCCAGCGGCCACGGCAGCCATGTCAGCAAACTGGAAGTTTCAACATTTAGCATTTTATAAGAAGCTGAAAATGCAGGGACAATAAAACTGCTAAACCTGTACTTTCATCATTTTTATTTTACCCATACATTGCTGGATGGGTGATCTTGGCCAGTCACACTGCCTCAGCCCACTCAGGATAGTTGTGAGGAAAATAGGATGAGGAAGGATTATTAGGTATGCTTGCCATCTTGAGTTAGTTCTAAAACTAATAAAAGCCGGATAGAAATAAACGTGCAAATAAATAGCTAGTTTTTCTCATCCATCCATCAGTTTAATCTATCAATTTTAGAAAACTTCATTGTGTTCACGCATTTCTGAAATGTTTGCTATTTCTCCTGATAGGAAGGTTGGCTTTGCATAAGTTCAAAGCTCCCCAAATAATAATGGATGAATTAATTTAATTATTCCTTATTTGCAGGCACAATATGGACTCAGAATATTGTGAGCCTGATTCTTCATGAAGGTCATCGAGATGAAACTGAAAATATTACCCTGATTGACCGAGCACCCTGGCTGGAGTATAATTTCTTGCATGTAGATTTTATCAGTCGCCCATCGCCTCGTCTCTTTACTTCCCATCTGCCCTACTATTTGGTACCCAAAGGATTACGAAGTAGAAGAGCAAAAGTAGGACATATTTTGCTAACTTGTGAGGTGGTGTGGGGAACTGTCTGTCTTCTGTTCTATTAGCTCTGCACCTGAATGTTTTATTAACAAATAGGCAAAGGGCACACAATCACATATTACATTGTTCCAATATGTTTGGTGGACACTAACAAGTTCTGAAAAGTGAGGAAAATAAACACAAACAAAACCGTGTTAATATCAGAATATTATGCCCTGGAGAAATAGCTAAGAACCGAACTGAATATCGACCAACTTAAGCTTATTTTTCCAGATGGATTGCAACACTTTGTGTTGCATGGCCATTTGCTATCTTAACATATCTGAACACTGTCAAGTTGAGGAATGCCATCTCTAGCCCTCAAATGCCTTCCCACAATCCCTACTCTCAGTCACTCATGCCCTAGTCACCAGAGGTTTCAGCTGGTCCAAAATGCAGAAGCATGAGCACTTGTGTGATCTCTAAGAACTTCATACATTACACCTCTGCTTTGGAAACTGCAGTGGCTACCAGTTTGGTTCAGGATTCAAGATGCTGGTTATGACTTTTAAACCCCATCATGAGGCGGGAACATGTAATTTGAAGGACCTCCCCTAGTTGCAGCTACATATCAAGTCCAACAGGAAAGGCATGTTGGGGTCCCATCTGCTAGGGAAATTTGTCAGGCAGGACCTAGGAGGAAAGACTTTTCTGTGGTCTCTGCCATATGGAAAATCATTCTCCCCAAGTTGAGGCTGGCCCAAATCCTGTCTGGCCTGCTGGAAGTTCCCCAAACATGGTTTTACTAATAAGCTTTAAGGTCCCATGATATAGTGGAGCCTGTTAGATGAGTCTATGACAGATACTTGATGCACTCTATGTATGCTTTGCTGTCAATCTGTCATCTTTCTCTTACAGATTATTTATGTGCTTAGAAATCCAAAGGACGTCATGGTTTCTAACTATCATTTTCACAAATTGTCAGTCAACGTAGAAACCCCAAAAGACTTCAGTACTTTCTTTGAGAAGTCTTTGGCTGGAAAAGGTAAGAAGTCCTTCATCATGACAACGTTATGTCAGTTTTTGGTTTGGATAAGAGATTATGAATACATTTCCATCTGCTTCCCACAAAGAACAAACAACCCACACACTTTCCTAACATAAGTAACAAATAATGATGGGTAGGAGAGGCAAGCGAATGGAGCTTATTACAGTAGAGAGACTAGTAATACTAAGACAAATAATATTAGTAATACTAAGATATATTTAATATAGAGGAGAAAATGGAAGGAAATTATTTGGTGGTTTAAAATCAGGATTTGAATGGGTTGGAATTAGTGGGCCATGAATTGTTTACAACTGGGCCATGGAAATGGCAGGCAAGCACACACGTGTGCGCATCCCCTCTTGCACAAGCAGCAGGAACGCATGCACACCGCTTGTACAAATGCAGCTGCATAC